TTTTTTCGTGGTTTTTGTATTAGACCCGTCGTCCATTTATTTGTAAAGCAATGATTTTCTCACATTATGTTTCGAATTGAACAATACTTTTATTAATTTATACATAAATACCACATCACAGTGTTTATTTATATCATTAGAAATTCATATTTACAGTATTCATAAAGTACTACAATCACACGCGTGCTGTTTTTTAAAACATGAAAAATAATTTGTTTTTTTTTCAACTTACATCACTAGTTGTAGATAAACTAAGGCCGATAACGCCTTTGAGATATTTTTTTTATAATATCAAGTGACGGGACGAACAAGTCGTGCGCCTGATGGTAAGATACACGCCTGCCCATAACAGTTGCAATGTCACTCAGAGCTTTATATCGCAAAGATCTGAGGGTACTGCCACTACGCCCATCACATAGGTTGACAAGTCTCATGTGCCTGTAATTACACCGGAACACAGTAATGCTGACATTACTGCTTGGCGGCAGAAATAGGTAAGGTGACAGTAATTCCCTGGACGAAATCTTTTACAAGGAACCCTACTGCTACTAGAAATATTCGCTTATTATTACCAATGTCAAGTGTCAAAACCCTCTTTCTAACAAGTGGTGGTTTGCAGTTATTATATACAGAAAAAGAAAAAGATAAACACCTGTATGCGAGGCTTCTGCTAACAGATCATGATCGCTGTCCTTAGCCACCAGTCCTGGCGGCGTATCTTCGGCTGCAACCGCTACCAGCACGGCCAGCACACACCATGCTGCTACGCACTGGAAAGAAATAATAAAATTGTTTATTCTCTGAGCGGCTTTTGTTTATTTAAAAGCTTAAATACTAGAAAACTAGAAACTAGAAACCTAGAAACCTAGAAACTGAACTAGGATTCAGTTATATGAAAAAAATTGGGTTCCCGCGGCAAGGAGCCCAAGATGCTGGTAGCGTTCCCACTTTTTATATCGATAAATTTGTCGATATAAGTTTTATCGACAGATTGTGAAAGAAGTGTGTAATATTTTGTCAAAAATGTCTGAATTGTGGATGTTACGACGTTCTAATTATTGCCTTCTTCATTCTTATTATGACAACTGCTAGTATCGAAATACATTTTTATTCCTATCCATTTGAATAAGAACATTCAGATTTGTGTATCTATATTGAATTAAAATGAAAATACTTAAAAATATATATCTCCTTTTTGTATTTTTAAACATAGTTCTAAATGTAGTGTATCAACATCGGTAAGCTCACGTATTCTACGGACTGCGTATGCAGCAGAGCTTAATCTGCTAGCTAAGGAAGATATATGTGGAAACCATTGAAGTTACTATCTAAGGTCACTCCCAAAAAGACAGCTTTATTAACAAGGTCTAACTTTTCTCCATTTATTTCTATGATTGGATTAGTCGACTTTACATTAGGTAATTCAAATTGAACATACTTTGTCCGCTTGGTAATGAGCAATAAATTGTTAGCATTAAACCAATAAACTACCTTTGAGAGGGTGTCGTTAATATTGTCATAGTTAACGTCATGTCTGTCTGTTTTAAAAATCTAGGATATGTCGTCAGCAAACAATACTATTTCGCAAAGGTTCTTAACAAAGAATGGTAGATCATTAATATAAACGAGAAATAAGAAAGGTCCAAGTATTGAGCCCTTCGGAACACCCATTTTTACCGGAGAACCCAAAGAAGTCACTTCATTTATGTCTACTTTCTGAATTCTACCGTTAAGATATGACGAGACAAGTTCCAACGCCTAGCCACTTACTCCGTAATATTCTAGCTTCCTAACAAGAGTAATATGGTCCACACAATCTAATGCTTTTGAGAGGTCACAGAAAACCCCAACAGCGCTCTGGGACCTTTCCCAAGCATCAAATATATGTTTTAGTAGCACTACCCCCATATTGTTCAATATGTGATTCCTACCGAAATAAGACAGTAATTGACTCAAAACAGCTTAAAAAGAGTGATTATTGAGGAGATGGTAAAAATTTGAGTGCGTTACTTTAAGAATAGGTAAAAGCCAGTGGATAAATATGATGGAAATGTGATGTGCAATGCAAAATTTGTATATACGATGCGTTTTTTGCATTTCAGTTACTCTGTGCTTTAAGATACGAGTTTCAGAAGGCAAGGCGACGAATATGGTGTTGTGTTTGAGTGGATCATACTGTTTTTAGGGTGGCTCTTAAATTGATTTAGGTGGGCCCATTGACTTACAAATAAATGGACGACGGGTCTAATACAAAAAACCACGAAAAAAATGTCCCAAGTCAACCTATTCGAAATTTAAATTGTAATGTCATCGCAGTATCGCGCTGTCAGTAGAACAAATGAAGACTAAAGCGGAGTGTCGCGCTCTGTATACGATTTTAGCGCCTTACAAGTGCGGACACTTTTTAGCGCGGACCCGACGTCCATGTAATTGTAAGTCAATGGGTGGGCCATACATTTTTTTATGATACCTAGTGACAGATGACGGAACAAAAAGTCGTGCGTACGAACGAAAAAGTTTTAAAACACAAAGATCTAAGGGGCATTGTCACTGCACCCGTCATCCTGAGACATAAGTTGACAAGTCCCATGTGCCTGTAATTTCACCAGCAGCCTTACCTTTCAAAACCGGAATACAGTAATACTGACATTACTGCTTGGCGGCAGAAATAGGTAAGGTAGCAGTACTTCCCTGGACGAACTCTTTCACAAGGAGCTACTGCTACTGAATGTTTCGGGAAATTGTTCTTTGGTGGTTTGAAAGGTGATCCATATATTGTTGTTTGCGTGGATAGTACCTTGCTTGGGTGGCCCGTAAGTTCCACCCTTTGGTTGGCACGTAAGTAAGTAAGCTTAGAAAACAATTTCTTTCAAGTTAAACTGTGTTGTAAAAATCCGTCATCTGTATGTACCACGTCACTATTTTGGTATTTAAATGTAAGTATTTTCAACCTATTGCATTCCATGATGAATGATGTTTGTTCTATTACCGAGAGGTCATCAGACTATGCGAACGTCGTTCACTTGGTTACCCGATGAATAAACTTCCTACGGAACCTTTTACTTCCCACCAAAGTGAGAAAAAACCATGAGAACATTAATAATTGGATTAATAGAACCATTTGTCTTGTGTGGCGTAACGTAATACAATGGGAGAAAAAATGTAGGCGCTTGAACTAAAGTTCTTTTACAAGATTGTAGTGATGGTACACCGCGTTAATAACTCGCTCGAACGGCTAAACAAACTTATAAATTTAGTGTTTTTTTATATGTGCCTGAAATTTCACCAGCTTCAAAACCGGAACACAGTAATGCTGACGTTACTGCTTGGCGGCAGAAATAGGTAAGGTGGCAGTACTTCCCTCGACGAGCTCCTTCACAAGGAGCTCTATTGCGACTGATTTTGATGATTCCTTTTTTTGTTGAAATGAACATACCTGAATATTGGTCCCATTTAAATCTAAAGAAGATATACCACCTCTAAGGGTGGCAAACTGGTAACAGATTTGAATAAAACTTGGCAAATAGATGTAGTAATTTCAAGAACCATTGAGATCAGCTTTTTTAAAGTTGTAATTATTATTTATGATAATCAAGTGACGGGACGAACAAGTCATGCGCCTGGTGGTAAGCGACACGCCTGTCCATAACAATTGCAGTGCCACTCGGAGCTTTAAATTGCAAAAATCTGAGTTATATTGCCACTGCGCACTGTCACTTTAAGACATTAGTTGACAAGTCTCTTAAAAGTGCATGAAAAAAACATTCAAAGCATTTTTAATTGACTTCAAAACACTTCGAAACATGTTCTCAATTTGAATGATTTTTTTTTGTGTGTGTGTTACACGACATTTGTGAACCGATGTCCATAATTCTTTTTTTTTTTTTGGTAAGGGGGTAATTTAGTAGTAGGTAATGTAAATATGAGGAAAATATTTAATTTCTAAGGGGCCACTTTAAATTAGGGGACGAACCCGGTTTATTGTATATCGCCCACTTTCCGATTTCGATTAAACTTGGCAAATACTTATGTAATTCCACAAACTTCTGAGATCAGGTTTTTTTTTCTAAAAAAAGTTATAATTAAAATTTTCTGTGTATCTATCGATAACCTCCCATCACTATTTATCTAGATCGAGCTTTCCACCGATATGTGTTATCGAAAGTGTTCACCATTAATTATTTGTGCGGTGACCCGAGGAGAACACATTAAAGTGAATAGGGCGTTTAAAAAATAACTCACTTTTTACTTATCAGCATTTAAACTGTGTCCTTTTATTTTTTTTTTTTTCCATCGTTTAATCTAGAACGACGATGGCACGATGGTGGCTACTGGCAAATTAGGGGATGACTCCGGTTTATCGGACTCCACCCACTTGCCGTTAATCGATTTCAACAAAACCTGGCAAGTAGATGTATTTCCACCAACTTTTGAGGTTGTTTTTTTTTCTAAAAAAAATTATAATTATTTTAATTTCGATTTCTTTAAATCACAAAGATCTGAGGGGCACTACCACTGCGTCTGACACCCTAAGACATAAATTGACAAGTCCCATGTGCCTGTAATTTCACCAGCACCGTTAACCCTTAAAAACCGAAATACAGTAATGCTGACACATTGACTTACAAATAAATGGACGACGGGTCTAATACAAAAACCACGCAAAAAATGTCCCAAGTCAACCTATTCGAAATTTAAATTGTTATGTCATCGCAGTATCGCGCTGTCCGTAGAACAAATGAAGACTAAAGCGGAGTGTCGCGCTCTGTATACGATTTTAGCGCCTTACAAGTGCGGACACTTTTTAGCGCGGACCCGACGTCCATATAATTGTAAGTCAATGTGCTGACATTACTGTTTGGCGGCAGAGTTAGATAAGGTGGCAGTACTACCCTGAACGAACTTCACAAGGAGCTCTATTGCTACTAAACTTGCGTAACATAGGTACACACAAAAAATACAGTAGAATTAATTAAATTTTTATTGAATTGAAATTCAATTATTTTTTGTGAAATTACTCCACTCCACTAGTTTGTTATAATTATTAATACAAAGATTTTAATAGAAGAAATTTTTTTCTCATAGATGGCGCTACGACTAAAAAGTCGTTGAAAAACCA